TTCTAAGCCTGTTACTTATCCAACTCCAAATTATGAAAGGATTCTATGTTTACTTTTTTCACCCATACATAAAGCTTTTCATATCCTAGAAGTCAAGAAAAAGTGATTTAATCTTACCATGAGAAGTTGCTTCCAAGTGTGTGTGTGTGTGTGTGTGTGTGTGTGTGTGTATATATATATATATATATTTTAAGATTAGTTTTCTTTGGAAAATTTCTCCGTACTTAATAAAAGAGAGAAAATGACTCCTGTGTGTGTGTGTGTGTGCGTGTGTGTGTGTGTGTTTGTAATTTGTTTTTGTCAGAGTGAAAAGTGATGCTAATTAGGTTAAAATAAGTATTTGGCACTAAATAGGGTGGTATCTAAACCAAATTTTGTATTTTGTACCAAATTTCTAAATCCTTTTTGTTGCCTGAATGGATTAGCTGGTTCATTGTAATGTTTGTGTTATCTGTTGGATACGTCTATGGTTGTCCTTAGTCCGTTGGTCCTCAGATGGGTGCAGGCCATTTAAGCTGCTCCCTGTGGTACAGTAGGGGTGAACATAGTGCTTTGTGAGTTATTTCCTAGTTTCATGAGGAAGAACTATTGCATATGGAGGCACAAACTTACTTCCCTTCATTTTAGAGATACACACACATGCATATGCACGCATACAGAGTACATTACAGGTGTAAATTCTCAGTATGTCTTCACAACATCATTTTTAATCTTATATTAGATTTGGCACTTTTAATACTACTAGTAGTAGTATTAAATACTGAATATACTTTGCTGAATATACTTGGCTTACTGGTGCTGTGAAGACAACGAGCATTCTAATTGCAGTGTGTTATCTTTATGGTAAGTGTCTATTAGATTCACTACACTGTATATGTGTGTCAGTTTACCAAATGGATTTGCAATGATTGACACAGATTTCTTAAGGGAGAACTAAGAAAGCTGTTAGATATATTGGTGGATTGAGTTAATAATTGAGGTTTTATTTTCTATTGATTAACAGGTTGGAAAACAGAGAAAAGCAACATTAATGCATTAAAAAATTAAACTACCTTTACTATTCAGTGATAGTTTTCACCAATTGCTGGGAACATAGTCAAAGGCATTCCTACAAAGCACAGCACTCATTATTTTTGTTATGAGTGAAAATCTAATTTACATACAATAAAATGTCAATTCACATCATAACCATCAAGATAAATAGAAACATTTATACTCTTCGATGAGCTACTCTTTTTGAACTTAAGTGCTGTGCTTGGCTCTTTGCCCAGAGACCAGTTGAAATATTCTAAGTTTAACAGAGAAGTAAGGATGAAGTTGAAACTGACTTGTGTGCAAATGTAAAGTCAGATTGGCCTGTGTGAATCAACAGTTGTCATTGCAGATATTTTAATTGTATATGTGTGTGTGTATGTGTGTGTGTGTGTGTGTTTGAGAGGAAAACAAAAGGAAAAACTACTTTTCTTCAGGGAAACAAATGGTAACATTTCTCAATTTGCACAGTGAAATTGTGATCTTATTCAAATCAGGGATTTCAATACGTTTGCCTCTCACCAGTTATGAAAGGAAAAATAATCAATTCCCCTTGCCATTTGAGACTCCATGATGTATTCTTGCTCTATTTTAGTTTCCCTAGTTAGTGAAATAGGTGCATTCTTTTTTTTTTTTTTCAGATATATCCTACAGTGTCATTGTGACTATAGCCTAAAGTCTTTGAAAAAATAGTTTTGTAATTTTCTTATAAAAGTACAATGGTTAATGAATTTTTTTCTCTAACATGTATTTGGATATAGGAAGATTCATTTAGGCAAATAGAACATTATTACTTAACTTACCACACTATCTCTTTTTACTTAGACAAGTGCATTTGAAATGAGATATTTAAAATCTAGAGAACATAGCAAGATGAAATAAAAGCCTAATAAAATGTGTTTGGGCTAGCATCAAAACCTTTGAAATAGGATATCTAAATAGTGTGCATTTTATCTCAGAGGGCTTTTGGTTAGTTCTAGTGTCCAGATGACTGTTAATGGGCTTTTGTGCTCTGAAGCGTATGCTAATAGAAGTGATCATTTTGGATTAGTTTGATGTGAATTAATAAGAGATTTATTTGGTAGAAGTTGTTTGAAGGTGATGACATTTAAAACTCAACAAGATTTAAGAAGTTCAAAAATACTTAAAAAAAATTTGGGAACAGTCAATTCAGAGAGAGCAAATTAAATAGAAATGGATGGGAAAGAACAGGATCTGACATTGAGTTTACGAAGTTTGAAGCAGTTTACAAAAAAAGCGATCTACCATTGAAGTATTGCCCTGGAATTTGAAGAAACAGAAAACATCTAAACTTCTTCAGTGATTCTTGGGTTTGTGAATTGGATAAACAATGTTCTCTTGCATTTTATAGTTCACTTAAGCAATCTGATTTTGATCTGTATATATGGAGTAGACAGGATTCAAGTGTTTTTTTTTTTTTTTCCCTAAACCAATGAGCAAACACATATGTTCTTTCAAAACTGAACTGTATATGTTGTTCATATGGAAGCTATCTAGTTTGCTCTAGGCCCAAGATTTGACCCTCCTTTTATTTTGCTATCACTTGCTTAATTCTTAAAATTCTTTGTGGGGCCTTTTGATCAAAAGAAACATTTTTTTCTTTCTTTTATGTTTTTTTTTTTTTTAAATAAAAGCTACATGAAATGTGTAATTAATAACTCAGTACTCTTATGCTGGTGATACAAGCAAGCATGGAAGAAAACATATTTATTAAGGCAAAGACCATGATGACTTTTCTTTTTGTGTTAAGCTTTGGTTTTAAACAGTTGAGAAGTTTTATAAGCTGGAAAAACAAAAGAAACATGTCATCTGGCATTATATGTTATGAAAATAAGAACTGATACTTATAATTAAAAATTATATGCAACAAGATTTGAAACTGAGGTCCAATTACAGGATCTTGCCCTCCTGCTTTTTCAGAGTCTTGTTCAGAATGTAATGTGTGTGTGTGTGTACATATATATGCACACACATATATGTATATGAAATTATATTTGGAGAGATACTCAAAAGTGTCAGTTTTCCTTGAGAATAGGAGTTCCTTATAGTCATTTTCTTTTTAAACATATCTCTCTTAAATTAATGACAATTAATAAAATTAAAGTCATCTTGCTTAGTGTGTTTGGCATATAACTGAGGTTGGATATATTTACTGAATGAATGAATATTGGGGGAAGTGAGAAACTGAGGCAAAGATAGGCTTCAGTGGTATTTAGACCACCCTTAGTAGTTGGTGGTTTACTCCTCTATAGTCTCTCAGTGCAATTGGGCAAACTTTTTAAAGGTAAAACTGAAGTGCCATTAACCGGAACCAGTGTAGAGTCACAGAGGTGGGGGAGTTTTAGAAATAATTTATTCAAATTCCCTTATTGTACAGGCAAAAAGAGAGACTCAGAGAAGCAAAAGGACTTGCCCTTCATCACATGAGCAGGTGATTTAAATCAGGTGTAGAGACTGGATATGCAATTTCCATACCATTTTTACTCAGGTTTTAATTCTTTACTTTGCTTAGGGTCAAGATACTACAAAGAATATAGAATTTGGAAAATTTACACCTCTTACCTTCAAAGAGTTTCTCATCTAATGGAAATAAATTTTAGTTCATCTGCATTGAGCTGATGTGTGATCTAAGATCTGTTTTTAAATTACTGTGATAGTTGATTTCTTTATTTGAATAATTTATTTGATTATCTATTGCAAGGTTAGTTGGAGTAAGAATATATCATTAAATGTAGGCATGTATATATTTATATGTAATATATGTAATATAACTAAATCACTAGTGGTTAATTTACAGTATCTAGGTAATGATAGAAAACTCAAATCCCTTTGGGTGTGAAGGTGCCCTCTTGAGAACATCAGTCAGTCTTCTATGGGAGAAGATTTTTTTTCTTATGTATTTAAACATTTTAAATAGTGCGATAAACTAGTTATCAGAATTATTTTTAAGCTCTAATGCTGATTATTTCTACACCATAAGTCTGTCTAAATTATATGGTAACAGAAATAATGCACTCCTATTTTTATAAAAGTAAACACATTTTCTAAGAAAGCATTTAGATTTGTTTTATTTAGAAGGAAATATGGTTAATTAAAAGTAGAAATTTGTAATTTTTACAGATGGAATGTCTTATATCTCAGCAATGAAAATTAATACAAAGAGTGTTTTTGGAAAGCTACATATATTTTTAACCTGCCTAAATATCTTGGCACATAATATACATTCTCATTATATGAGCTGTTCAGGTGGAGAATAATGTAAATGTAGGCCTGCTCCCTACTACTTAGCCCCAGAGGTCAATTTTTAATCTCACAATTAAATAGAGGACTTAAAATAGCAATTTTGAGCTTTGCAGTTCTCCTTTAAATTCTTTACCTCCTCTTTTTCAACTTCACTTTTAGCCCATTATCTAAAATGGCAATTCATAGTGGACTTACTCTAATGGGCATTTTGAACTTTTCTGGGGGTAGGGTACTGCATCAAGGATACTGCTATGTAGTAGGGTGATAAAGATTAAAATAGAGTTGCCAAAACTAATGACTGCGTTCATTGTTGTGATTAGGTATTTTAATTGCTTTAAGATTTTCCCTTTAAAAGTGTTTGCTGGTGTTTACAAATTAAGATCTTTTACCCCCACCCCATTGTAGGTAAGTATTATGGTTATTAGGGTTGACGGGGTTTTAGAGGTTAAATAATTTTCACCAACATCACAGTCTGTTATGAAGATGACTTATGTCCTATAACCTTTTATATGATGTTCCTCCTTCTCTTGTTGCTTTATTAAAACCCAGGGGAGGGAGAGGATCTTGCTCAAGATCTGCTCATGCTTTTATATCTTTCAGGCAGCCTATGATGCTGGCATATTAATATATTTTAGGTGTGATACATGAAAATGTGTTTACATCATTTAGGAAGGAAAATTTTTTTTTTTTGCTTTGTTTTGCAGATGTACAGATCAGCTCTCAAAATGTCTTCTGTGTCTTCCGAGCGTCTTCTAAGACAATTGCATTAGCCTCCTGCTAGTTGACTAATAGAATTAATAATTGTAAAAAGCACTCTAAAGCCACATGCCTTATGAAGTCAATGCTGGGTATGATTTTACAAGTATGTGATCTATTTTTTCAAGTGAAAATGTTAACTGGAAAAGTTCTTGGCACACAGTAAAACATCGTGCAATCTGTTATTTGTCTTAGAGATAATAACTTGAGGGTGGCTATAGTCTTATGGTATCTAACTTACGACTTGCTAGGGGAGTTTCTTCCACTTAGAAGTATGACAGATGTGCTTATATTTACATAATCTGTCACTCTGAAAAATTATGATGATATAATTCCAGTAAAATTATTTTTTCTATAACTACTTCAAAGTATAGTCAACTAAATTAAGCACACTTTTTTTTTTTTTAAAAAAAAACAGCAACTAAAGAGCATGCCCCTGCCCCCACAACACAAAATAAAACCCAAACGACCTTTTGGATATTTCTTTGAAGTTTTAGCAGTTTAACAGTCTTTGCAATGTGTATTATTAAGGACTCTATTCAGCATAAGGAGTCGTGAGTCATAAGTGTTCGAAGTATCTGTTCTTGGGTAGAAGAAGGAACTTCAATTTTAGAAAGATGATAATTTAATTAAGTCATATTTTCTCCCAGCCACTAAAGATGCTGGTTGAGTAGTCTTTAAACTATGACCCATTATATATCTTCAATGTAACAATAAATCAACTAGATCTAAAGCTTCTTCTTGTTTTGAAAAATAAGTTAATTTTTAAAATATTAATGTATTTGGATCTATTCACTTTTAAGTATTTTATCTTGGTTCCCTTGCTATTTAAAATGTTGCCATTTTCCTAATCACTCACCCTGGAGTTAACATACGGGCATAAACCATTTTCTCTTCATTTTGACGGAAGGATAATCTTAATGAATTAGATTGTTTCTTCCTCATTTCTTCGTGAGTCCTGTCTTTTGATATAGAATTTTTAATTTTTTTGTGTGTAACCTTATTCATTTCATTTAGGTGGTTCAGTGTTAGATTCTAGTCATCTTAAGAAGAAACGGTTAAAATACAAATGATACAGGTATTCAGTAAGGGAAGATTATATTGTAATAGTTAGTGAAGACATTATGTGTAATGGAAAAAATTAACAATCAGGAAATTCTGGAGGGAATGGTAAGAGAAGTTGTATCAAGCCTTCACAGTTTTATGTGTAGGAATGTCTGATTACAACCTAAAATATCCTTTTCTGTAGACCAAGTTAAAACCGTGCATAGTTTGCTTAAACTTATATTTTAAATGATAACTAATTTTTTCAGGTTGCCCATTTAGTCTTTTTCCCCCCATTTTCCCTTTATTGACTACTAGTAAAATTGCCCTTCGGTTTTCTGTGTATTTTCACACATTCCCAGGGCTGCTTTAGTCACTTCTGACAAAAGAATACAGGACTCCTAAAAGGTTGACATAACACATAAGACATTGAAATGCAAACATTAAAAAAAAATAGTTGACCAGTGTTTCCTTTTTTAACAGTGGTCATCAGGCTTCGTTAATTTTAGGGCCTAACAGAATAACACCAAGATGAGAAGCTCATAGCCCTCTTCCTTCCTCCAGAAGTCAGGCGCATTTACATTGCCTCAACACAACCACTTCTACTCGAAACTTCACTCTTTCATCCTGTATATGTGTATTTTGTTCCAGGAGAAAGCTTCTGTAGATATTTGGCAAATAACATTATTGATGTGTAAGAACAGTGTACTTTCTTTCTTTCTTTTATTTTTATTTTTGCTTGTTTTTGTTTTTGTTTTGTTTTAGATGGAGTTTCACTCTTGTCGCCCAGGCTGGAGTGCAATGGCACAATCTTGGCTCACTGCAACCTCTGCCTCCTGGGTTCTAGCAATTCTCCTGCCTCAGCCTCCCGAGTAGCTGGGGTTACAGGAGTGCACCACCACACCTAGCTAATTTTTGTATTTTTTGTAGAGACAGGATTTTGCCATGTTGGCCAGCTGGTCTCGAACTCCTGACCTCAGGTGACCCATCCACTGTGACCTCCCAAAGTGCTGGGATTACAGGCGTGAGCCCCTGCGCTTGGTCCAGTGTACTTTCTTAAGTACCATTATACTATTTTTGACATTCACTGTGGCACATTTTTACTTTGTAAATGATTCTTTATACTCTAGTGCACTATTGTTGTTCAGTGATTCATATAAAAATTTTGCATGACCAGCTTTTCAGAAGCAAAAGTAAACCTGTATATCCAAAGCTAGTGTGGTACTTCAGTACTTGAAGAAATTATAGATGAAAATGACTAAACTATGTTATTTGGATTTTCTCAGCACATTTTGGATAATCGTGGTATAACTAACTGTTAGTCCTTATGGTGAAGTCAGCTAACAAAGAAGTCTTACTTAATCAGAATGTCACAGGTGGAATTTTCCAAGAGACATTTGGGGTGATGACTTACACAGCACTCGACAGCTCTTTAAGCTGAGTGATTAAGAAACAGCAGCCATGGAACCCAGTCTTCGACCAGCCTTTGTTAATGTATTCTTTAATTGACACTACGTAAATTATTTCTTAGTTTATTTTATATTCTTAGAGTTCTGACTCATTCTACTCCAGTGGAAGAATTTGTTCCAGTATTCTTCTTTTGACCCCAGTCACCGATGTCACTAACTTAACTTGAGAGACATGGTTGAGCTAATGTGTAAAGGTGAACCATAGGAAACTGCTAATATTTTACTGTTTTGAGCAACGCAAGGACAATATTATATGGTTCAGCTTAATATTCTTTCTTAGTCAGTTTCCAGTGCACTCCCAGTGGTGGAACAGGTACTGTTTTCACCAGGCTACGTATGGGACACCCAGAGCTTATTAGGTTCCCCAACATGCTGGACAGAGTCCTAGGAAAACCTGATCCAACCACTGTGATGTGTACCAGGTCTTTCTTCTGTCTTTCAGGCAAGCTCCAAATGTGGCTTAAAGAAATTTGGTGGTAGGTCAGAGCTGGAACGTTTGTCATCCTCCACTTCCTGAAAGTGATGAGGCAGTTCTCACTCTGTTTATACCATAGCTGTTTCTGTCTTTTTGACAATGAAGATTTTTTTTTGAAACTATATTTACATCCCGGTTGCATAGGGTAACAATATCGAATTCCAATTTATGTTATTCATGTATACATATACGTACCATATAAATAAACACGTGATGTATTCCATAAACATAAACACACACATATATTTTATAAACACAACGTGTACATGTTATATATAATATAGACCATATATAAATATATAAGCATATATATATATTGTTAGCTACAATGGAAGGAAGAAATTGGGCAAAAATATATTTTCAGGAAAGCATAAGTAATAGGAAGGGTAAACCTAGTAATAAAAATCCTTCATTATTCATAAAACAACCTTAAAATAATAAATGAGCCACTCTTGGTTACAAAAGTCATTCTACATGTAAATTGTTTGTTTTAGTCTCAACTTTTTGCTATTTTTAGAACTGATTTTTTTTCCTAGAGGAAGCATTTGATTATGGCCCTTAAAAAACTTGCCTAGGTAAAATATTCCAGATACAACTATATCTCTGTAACTTTCAAATAACACTGTATCTGCCTTTTCCCTGTATCTTTGCAGATATGGTTCGGAAAAAGAACCCCCCTCTGAGAAACGTTGCGAGTGAAGGCGAGGGCCAGATCCTGGAGCCTATAGGTACAGAAAGCAAGGTATCTGGAAAGAACAAAGAATTTTCTGCAGATCAGATGTCAGAAAACACGGATCAGAGTGATGCTGCAGAACTAAATCATAAGGAGGAACATAGCTTGCATGTTCAAGATCCATCTTCTAGCAGTAAGAAGGACTTGAAAAGCGCGGTCCTGAGTGAGAAGGCTGGCTTCAATTATGAAAGCCCCAGTAAGGGAGGAAACCTTCCCTCCTTTCCGCATGATGAGGTGACAGACAGAAATATGTTGGCTTTCTCATGTCCAGCTGCTGGGGGAGTCTGTGAGCCCTTGAAGTCTCCTCAAAGAGCAGAGGCAGATGACCCTCAAGATATGGCCTGCACCCCCTCAGGGGACTCAGTGGAGACAAAGGAAGATCAGAAGATGTCACCAAAGGCTACGGAGGAAACAGGGCAAGCACAGAGTGGTCAAGCCAATTGTCAAGGTTTGAGCCCAGTTTCAGTGGCCTCAAAAAACCCACAAGTGCCTTCAGATGGGGGTGTAAGACTGAATAAATCCAAAACTGACTTACTGGTGAATGACAACCCAGACCCGGCACCTCTGTCTCCAGAGCTTCAGGACTTTAAATGCAATATCTGTGGATATGGTTACTATGGCAATGACCCCACAGATCTGATTAAGCACTTCCGAAAGTATCACTTAGGACTGCATAACCGCACCAGGCAGGATGCTGAGCTGGACAGCAAAATCTTGGCCCTTCATAACATGGTGCAGTTCAGCCATTCCAAAGACTTCCAGAAGGTCAACCGTTCTGTGTTTTCTGGTGTGCTGCAGGACATCAATTCTTCAAGGCCTGTTTTACTAAATGGGACCTATGATGTGCAGGTTTGTACTTCGTATTGTCTCTTGGTACAGAAAAAGTTATTAGAAATGAAATGTGAATTCTTACATACACGTTAAAACCAAGGTCCCAGTACCAGACAGGTAGCCCGCTAGATCTAGCAGAAGAGATGGACGTACTCCATAGCTACTTCATTACAAGTATATTCAGAGTTGTCTAAAGACAACTTTTAGCCTCTTATTGTGGAATACAATCCCAGCATCTTTTTTGATTTGGGAAAGTCTTTTCATGGCATTAGCTAAGCTTCACAATTCTGGACATTTTTCATGGTAATTTGATGTTTTCACAGTCTTCCAAAAATGTTACTAATCTTTATGGTTGTACATGATGATAATTCATGCCTCGTTCCAGCTTTAGATTATAAGGCTTTTGCTATAATCTTTCTTTCAGTGAGGATATTTCTTGTCTCTTGGATTAGGATTTGATTTTATATTCATCCTGACGGGTCATATTGATGGTTGCAGAGATACTCCTGAAAAGGCAAAATAATTGCAAATGAAAACTGGGATATAACATTTTACATTGATTAGAAAGAAGTAAATGTGATTTTAAGTATTAGGGACACCAGAATGACCTTGGTAGGGGCCAATAAAGCATTCCTTTCTGCATTTAAGGAAAATGACAATAATTTATGAAAGCATTTAGTAATAATTTAGATTTGTACTTTCATTAAAAACAGCCTACCTTTTTGATCTATCTTTCTGTCTCTAGTTTATGGCATATGTGAAATGGAAAAAAGAAACTGTTACCATTTTGCATAAAATGAAACATGGAACTGAGTCTAAATAAATATATACATTTAATTTTAGTAATTTTAGCATAGTCAAAATTCACCGTCAGCTTGAGAAAGTGTATTAGATTTTGTTACAGTTTGTAGATTTTTATTGTATTATAAGGCCGGGGGGATTTCAAAACATGTTAGCTTTACTAGTAACCTTTTTTAGGAATGATTAGTAGTACCCAGAGAACTAATGAAATAAATCCCTTAAAATATCAGTCATTTTGATCAACTCGATAGCTATAGCTCATTTGCCTCAGACTTCTCTATTGACCTAATGCCAATTAAGAAAGTCAGGCAAAGAGGTTATAAATAACAGGTAGTGAACATATTTTGCAATACTTGTAAGAAGAATCAGAAGAGAAATTTCCTGGTCCTTTAAATGTCAGAATGGCAATCTTATCAGTTTAAGGGAGATGTAAAGAACTCTTTAAACACCAGTTTCATCTTGGTAAAGCACTCTAAAAATTCTGTCTTAGTTTGTGAATTTCCACAAATAGAATTATTTCTGTGGAGCAGCAAATTAACCCAACATAATTATTATGCATAAAAGCTACATGCTTTGAACTGCTGTCTATTAAAGATCATTTCACTGTCTTATGTCAGATACACTCTGCTGTCAAACTATGATTGGGAAGCAAATACGTGTTTTAGATAAAAGGGTTGGAAGTGAATAATGTCAGTATGTGAAACGGTGTTTTATAATTAGCAAGTAATATGAAGTTAATACCTGGATTTCCGGCAGGAGTTTCAGTTTGTTCACTCTAGGGACAACTTCTGAGGGAAGCTGATCTAGGCTGTCAGGAAAGCTCTAAAAATGAAAATTACTAAGGCCTATAGTTTGGAAGAATTCAGATTTTTAAACACACTTCCATTTCCCCCAAACAGTTATTTGTTAGGTTCTTGGTTATTTATAGTAAAGTTTATGTTTGGGTAGAAGGAGCTGGACACTTTTCCTGGGCAGTGATTTTAGAAGTAAAACAGATGTGTGAGCTATCTAAGTTTGAACTAATAGAACTAGAAATAAAACAGCTGATCCTCGACTATGCTGTCTGCTAAGTCCTTGCAGCACACAGCGAGGAAGACAAAAAGTGGTAGGAGAGAGCATGCAGGAACATAATCTTGTTAAGATCAAATTTTTTCCAAGATAAATAATATTGCTAAAAATAGAAAAAAGTAATCTGTGGAAAGAGTGCGTGATTATTTCAAACGATTGGATTTTGAAATGCATCTAAAGGGTTAACTTCAATTTGTGAGGATAACGCTGAATATACTTGTAGGGCGAAGCATTCAAGATTAGCACATCTTGAATGCTTTGCACATATGCCAGATACTGATGCAGAAAAATGTCTGAAGATAAGTTAACTTATTAATATCTTTATGCTGAAATAAATATTGAACAGTTTTCCTATACGCATAAAATGAATAAAAACGCATCTGAAATTTCCTTTTTTACCCACAAGTTTGTGTTACTGAAATGCTATTTGAGAGATTCTTTCCTTGGCGGTTAAACTTTGTGGAGGCTAAAAGCTGTGGGAGATAAAATGCTGACTATAGAATTTCTTTAATGCCATTTTGTCAGAAACATATAGTAAGTTAATGGCCTGTGTGTGTTCTGATGAAAAGATGTTGGTAAATATGAGTATTACAGACAAATAATCATTCAATTTTAGGAATTATTTATATAAGTCCATAATTTAAGCTAATTGAAGTAATAGATGAAGAATTCATTAATTCTTTTCAATTAAACTTGCTTTTTAAAAAACATTCAGAACAGTTGGTGGTTAATGATAGATTTATGACATTTTAGGCCAAGAAAAAAGTAACAGAAGCCAAAAGCAAAAGACTGAAAGAACTCTATGGCTTTGATCTATATTTTGGTTTGACATGGATGGTTTTAAATAATTTGAATGGACTTGAGTGCAAATATGAGATATACAGTTGGGAAAAAGAAGTACAGTAGTTTAAACAAATTCTAAGATTTCTAGTTTTAAGTGCAAGTTATTTCAAATATACGTGGAGGAATAATTGAAATGTAGACATGCTTGTACTGATAATATCCACTTTTGTATAAATTACATCACAAATGACTGAGTCAAAGAATTACAACTTTGTAAAAATACTGTCAAATAACAATGTTTCTTTGTGCTGCATAGTGGATAGAGCCCCAGCCGGATAATGGAGGTCACTGTAAATAGCCATCAGAAAGCCAAAACTGTCCTTTCTAAGTGTGGCTTTTATCAGATTCTCCTCCCAACACCTTGAGGTAGCATGCCCAGCCCTGAAAGCAGAAGACATGTCAGTTCTTTACCAAGAAAGCAAGAGAAGCTGTAATGGCTAGCTTAGAATTAATTGATTTGACCAGGATGTTAGTTTCCCAATTTTTCATTTATCCAGCATGTTCTATCAATTGTCATGCTTAAATTTTTAAAAATAATAGATGCAGCATGATTGGTTAGCTTTTCATGTAATATTTACTATCTGTATTCAGCCACTGAGGCTGCCATAGAGACCAATAATACAAGAGATCGAGTTCTTAAAAAAGTAATTACAGCTTCTTTCTTTTTATTTTTTTATTTTTATTTTTATTTTTTGAGACGAAGTCTCGCTCTGTCACCCAGGCTGGAGTGCAGTAGCATGGTCTCTGCTCACTGCAACCTCCGCCTCCCAGGTTCAAGCGATTCTCCTACCTCAGCCTCCCAAGTAGCTGATATTACAGGTGCCTGCCACCGTGCCCGGCTAATATTTTTTGTATTTTTAGTAGAGACGGGGTTTCCTCATATTGGCTAGGCTGGTCTCGAACTCCTGACCTCGTGATCCACCCGCCTCGGCCTCCCAAAGTGCTAGGATTACAGGTGTGAGCCACTGCGCCCTGCCAGCTTCTTTCTTTTTAATCTGCTTTATTATGCTTGTATTTAAACCATTGCTGAATGGAGGCTTGAATTAACGACGCGGCCTTTGCTGTTTCATTAGGGCTTAATGTGCTATGCATTGGGTGTTTGCATCATCTTTATTGGGGAGCTTTTAGCACTCAGATCAGGTTATAAAAGTAGGAGTCTTGTCAAGTTGTGCTTCCCATGGGAAAGTGTTTATGCAATCCCAAGTTCAGATGCTCATGATATATTTGTTGCCTTTTCATATTAGTAAATTCTTTTTTATTACTGCATTATTCAGGACTCTAAGAAGGTAGTTACTGGTTTCCAGCTATTAAATTTATTTTGGCCCTTAATGAAATTCTAAGGCTAATAGAAGAATCACATGATTAACTTACGAAGGACTGTCTTATGTTTGAGCTAGGAGTGTTACATTTCTATGTTGTAAATATTTTTATCAGAGTTGCACAATATGTCATGTTAGAAGCAGGAAGAACAGATTTTAGAGAGAGGAAGTCATTCTTCGGATTTGTATCTTCAACAGATTTAATTGTATGAGTTTATAGATCTTTAACATGTATCAGTACAATCGTTTGAGCAGGGGATTACAGTTTGGTTTGAAAAAAAAAAAAAATCAGAGACCATTAATCTCATTGTGGTTTATTTTGACTTGTCTTGAATTTTACTTCTAAACATTTATTTTTTGCCTTCACATTTTCTTTGATCTGGAGTAGGAGGGAAGTTGTAGATCTTAGCACGTTCTGTTTCTTTGTTTTTCCGAGTTGAGGACAATTTCAGTTTAGAAAAACTGGTGAATGAGACTTTAATCAATTCAGACTGTCTATAGAATACAGAATGTTTGGCGTATGAACCCACACTTCTTTTTCAGGACTGTGTCTCTTTAACAAGTAATAAAGTGTGCAAAATAAGACATATGCTCACGCCAAGGCCATAAAGCAAGACAAAGGTCTGGTATTTACCAGGTTATTTTCATCCGTGGAGATGGCAGAGCTAAATAATGTAGCCACTCTAGTAGAATAGTTCAACTATCATTACTAATCCCTTTACCTGCATGTCAGTTGAATCTTTTTTGACCTTGTTCATGACAGTTGGTATCATCTTTGATTTTCGATTTATTTGTTATCATTTAAAAGAACATGTATAATTTTATTGAATATCAGAATTTTTCTCTAGGCAGAATGTTTAGGAGAATAAATTGTGGTTATCAGTGGATCCAATCAAATTTAGCATTATTCAACTCCTAAGAAAACGTTTTACCTCTCCTGTGGCCTGCTCTGCTAACTCTCTCAAGTCGGGAGACTATTCAGTGTTT